AGTGAGCTGAACGGTGGCCCCAAAGATATAGCCGTGTCCTAATCCCCGGAGGGGGCAGTGGTGGTTCAGTTTGTGGCAGCTTGTCACAGCAGACCTAGGACCCTAATACAGTGTGTTAATCTGGACTGGAAGACTGAGCCGTCTTCTCATTCTCCCAGCAACTCTCCAAGAGAAATAACTTCTGAGGGCCATCTGCAAACACACTGCTCAGCCTCCTTTCTGGCAGAACCTAGGCAGGATTGAGTCCCCCTCACTCTCAGCAAGACAGAGAGATATGCTAAAGCCCCACATTCAACTTGTCCAGAGAAAGTCACTTCACCGTGGTTTGCCCAACAATACGATATTTAAAATCTATATAACGGTCTTAAACTTATTATGGTGTTTCTTGCTTTTATGGTGGCTATTATGGTGGCACCGTGGTTAACAGCATGGTTGCTAACCAAAAGGTTGGCAGTTCGAATTGACCAGCTGCTCCTTGGAAACCCTATGGGGCAGTTCTACTCTTTCCTACAGGGTCGCTATGAACCGGAATTGACTTGGTATTGGGTTGGTTCTTGCTTTTAAGAAGGTTCAAGGGTTAAAGAGATAATAGAACTATTCAAGTATCGTTTAAGGCCTGGGGACCACCCTTCTCTCTCTATTTTCTTCCTGAGGCCTGGGATTCATTCAGGCACAGCAAAGCTGTTCTTTCCACAATTGGAGACAAAGCCTAAAATGCCAATATCTTCTGTTGTGTAATACCTCAACTTCAGCAGGAGCCTCTGTATTCTGTAGTAAATGATTTTACTACAGGCACTTTCCTGTGTGTAGGCTTTGAGAGGGAAGACAGCCAGGAAGAACACGTGGGATCAGAAGATGTGTTGCTATGGTGAAAATCAAAAAGCACAAAGTGAGAGTCAAGTGTTCTGAGAGTGGCTTCCTCCCTCACGATTTTACGAAGCAAGCCAGAGACATAACCCTGATGTCCTCTGCCAACAGATACCCTGATCTTGAAGCCTGCTACTAATTCTGTGAATACATAAATTTATCCACATTTTACAGATGAGAAAATGGAATCCAAGGGAATTCAATCAGTTTGTCCAAGATCATGCAACTCGCACAAATGTCATATCGGTTTCCAAGTTCCTGGCACAGGGATGGATGTCTTGTTACTTCAAGCTAAAGAGAAATAGATTAAAATGCAGCTGGCGAGGGGTGGG